CCGTTTGGTTTTCAGTTGACACCCTTCTGTGAGTTGTACAATCATCGCTGTATATGAAATTGTCGGGCGGGGGGGGGTGAGGGGCAGTTCGCGGACCAGATGGCTCGCTTACATAAAAGTCTACTTACTGACTTGAGCTTGTTCATTTGGTGCTAATCGAAGCCAATGGAAAAGCTTGCAGCCGTTGGAATTTCAGTCTTCCTGGCATTTTCTTGGTGGGACTATTTCCGCTCCTTTTTTTAATGAAGTTGATGGTGCGTTTCTGTGCCATCAGCTTGTATTGTCGAGTTTTAAATGCAGAATCTACAACAATGTGGAAAGCGTTGCGTTTAATTTCTTGTTCCTTTCCACAGAGTGGTACTCATTTCTCAACATCGGAACAACGAGAGGCGAGCGACACGGACTGGGCTTGAACGCAGGACTTCTCGGTTTTGATTTCGATGCTTTACTGACGTGGCAGCACCGACTGAGGTCCCATGTGGTAAATGCATCGTTCACTTCGTGAATAAGCCAGAGATTGCTCTGAAGCAAAATCGAACTAGCTACCTTCAGGGTTCGAAGCCAACCTCTTATGCGCCCTGACACCAATCCATTCAGAAGGTTCCAAAAGCAGCTGTCTGCGCTACTACAACAAAAGAGTAACGAACTTTGAAAATGGATCGAATTGATAGATGGCCAATGAATTTGATGGAATTTTTGCAGTGGTGCGGTTGTATTTCGTCTTGGCTTGGAAGTGAAGTGTCTGGAATTGGTTTAGTCTGGGAGTGTTCGAAATCCCGTTGTCGCTACCGTTCTGAATAGTACCCGTTCCTGAAATCAAATTGAAAAGGACAACGTCGATCGGGTCGGATCGGATCGGATTGGATCGTCGCGTTCCCGGGTCACGTCACACTCGCACCCTAATTCGCTCGGTGTCATGCCTCCAAATATCTAACCGTCGAAAATTTTGCTTGTTGACCGTGCACTGTAGTGTACCACGTCAATGTGACTACCACTCTCTGCTGTCCGGATGATGACAATGTCTTTAAAATGGGGTGCGGTTGGTCGTCATCGCGTGTCCCCCC